GGTTAAATGACTTTTGGGTTATCCTATATGCACGCACACTATTGTAGTTTCAATGTGTTCTTGAAATAAAATTGAAATTTTTGATGTACAGTACGTAAACACACATACATGTATGCATATACGCTAATTTAAATTAATATGTATATATACATGTATACATTTACAAATTTATAAATAAATAAATATATATATATATATATATAATTACTTACAGTGTTACAGTACATCAAAAATTTCGATTGTATTTCATAAAGACATTGAAAATATATTTATTTATACGTATTTATATGTATATATGTATATGTAAAAATTCATAAGTATATATAAAATTAGTGTAGATATATTTGCACACAAATTACATACATATTTTATTTCTATCGGCATTAAAATTGAATAAAATAAATATTAAATAACTGAAAGACACATTTTTAACTTTTAACCTTTACCTAAGATCTATATGGTAGAGAATTTTCTATTATTTATTAACCTTAATCCAAGGTTTTTTTGCATATAAATTATATATAGACGTCTCCTACAGAATTGTATTACTTCTCTTTATATATATATTATATATTTTTTTATATATTTTATTCTTAACCAGACCGAATGACTTCCTAAATAAACACAAACACACAAAAAAAATAATTTTTTTTTTTCCTTAGAGTTTCCAATTTAACATGAAAATCTTGAAAAATGATGTAATAAAACAAGTAAATATTTGTGTTAATTTTGTGACGTATTATTCAATTTGTTTTAATTATATTCTAATGTCGTTTGTTACGTCACACAATTAAAGTTTTACGTAATTTTTCTTGGTGTAACGGTGTAAAGATCCTCTCATTAGCCAATGATTAGTAGTGGAGACGTCACACTATGGAAATTGACTTAGCTTCTATCGATCACGTTCCTTTCTAAAAACACACAATGAACTTTAACAAGGTGTGTTTACTTGACACAATTGATGGGATGTTTATTTATTTATTTTTATCTGTCTCCTTCCCATCTTTTGTATAAAAATTATATAATTTCTAGCCATGTCGACTGATGCAAATGATAACGTTAATAATTGATGTTAAAGCTGAAGTTTCTAACATTAAAATTTTAATAATTAATTGTACTAATTCCTTAATATATAATATAAAGGACATTATCCTAAACTATTCATGATCGCGTGAATAATCTTTATCTACAGAATCGCATTTGTTTCCAGTTTGATTATTATTATTATTATTATTTCATATTTTTGTTACGATTTTTTGAACTTTTATGTAAAATAATTTGTATATTCGTCTTATAGTTATATTTAGTAAATGTTTAATACTCTAAATGCTTTCGTATGAATATGCAGGGTGGCCCAAAATTCAGTTAACCATAAGATTGTTTAAAGAACTGGTTTAACCGTACTTAAAATAATATAGTACAATTTACAATCTTAAAAAAAAATTAATTTTAAATACACTTTTTTAGAATATTTTGTCAAGTTTCTTAACAAATTCTAGGAAATTTTTTGTTATTAATATTTAACGCTGTAAAACGATGGAAAAAAAACAGTTTTAATATTAAATAATTTTATTGATTCAATACAAAAAAACAAACAAATATTTTTCATTTGGAAAAATAAAAATGCTTTTTGTAAGAGGAATAAAATTTTCATTAATTTAAATACAATTATCAAAGAAATGCCCGGAGCAAATTAAAACTTGTTAATTTTGTTTAGACTTTAATTACTTAACTAATTAATATTAAATCATTATTAAACTTGATCATATTCAAACTTTAATTTTTAAATAAAATTATTTCCCTTCTCTTTCATTTAATCATTTCGAAATAAATATATTTTATAATTTGCTTTTTTGAAAGGAAAAAAAAAACAAAATAAAAATTTCAAATTTGATCCAATTTATTTGAATAAAAAATAAAGAAAGCCAAGAAAGTTCGCAACTCGATTAAATTGTCTGTGGGTTTTTAGATCTTATTTTTATTTTTGGTTTCGTCGGTGAACAGAATTAAAGTAATCAAATATTAAAGAATATATAATCTTTTATAAGTGTTTTTTATACTGAAAAAAATTTATTTCATAAATATTTTTAAATAATAATCGTACATATTGTAGTGTTGCTATTTTAAATGTAATTTTTGGGGGATATTTAATTAAACTTTTAGCTTCTAATTGGCATTTTTACATTGTGTTTTATTGTTTTAAGATAAAAAAAATTTTAAATGTAATTATTCTATAGATATATATTTGTTATTTTTTAGAATATTTTAATATATTTTTGAAGTTTACATGTTTTAAATAGTTTTAAATGTAGTTTTCTTTAATCCTTAATGTTTTTTAATATAGTCTTTGATGGTTTAGATGTAATAATTGGTTAATTTTTTGCTAATTTTTTAAATATTTAATCAGTTTTTTAATAATTATTAATGAATTTTTGATATTTATAAATGTAATTTTGACATATATTTTATATTTTTAGATGTAATTTCTGATTTAATTTTGATATTTTTAGATGTAAATTTAAAAAAAAATTTTTAAAGTTGCAATATTTATTATTTTAAAATCCCACTTAAATATAAAAGTTTTCTTAGGAAAAATTTTATGGTAAAATATTGCCGTAAAGTAACGTTTTTCTTTTTTTTAAAAAAGAAATGTAGTATCAGCTGTTTCTTTTAATATGCAACCAAGAATATCAAGCAAAAGAATTTGATACTTTATGACAAATCTGAAAAATTAATGATGTTAAAAGTTGTTTTTATAGAATGTAACATATGAAAAAATGGCGTGTTCGGGTTTTTTAGAGAAAACCATTTTTCATGAGTTAGGAGACAAGGTTTTTTCTATGTAAATAACAAAAAAACCTTCTGTTTTTTATTCAAAAATCACGCAAATTGTATATAATACTTTGCATCTGTTTATTCTCATCTCAACAACAAAAAAACCCTCATTTTTTAGAATAATATTTATAATATTAAAATAATTTACGTTGACCATGCAAAAGGGAAATTTCTGTTCTTTTGAATTATCCTTTTCGTGTGTTTAAGGGTGTGAAATGTATTATAACGTAAAAATGTTTTTTACTGCTTCTTTTTGTATTATTTATAAATAAAAAATATAATATATGAGTATGTTTTTTTATGTATTGTATACTTGTGTTTCTTTCAAATTATTTAAAATTTTCTTGTGTTTTAGTGCCCCAAATTATATGATTTCTCCACTTTTTGGAGTCTTCATTTATAAGTCATCTCTTTTTATTGGCTTCGATTGTTTGAAATATCCGTATTTTTACAGCTTCAAATTAAACGAAATTTCAATGCTTTAGAGCTTCCATATACACGAAATCTTCACGGTTTAGAGTTCCAATTGAGTGAAATCATTACTTTTAAGAACTGACTCAACTCTTTAGAACCTCTAATTGTATGAAATCTCCAATTTTAGACGTTCCAACTGCATAAAATCTTCATTTTTATAGCCTCAAATTACATACAATTCTCATTATTTAGACGCTTTACAACGTTGAATTGTGTAAAATTTCAATTTATTTTTCTCCAATTGTATTAAATTATCATTTTTTGAGTCTGGACGTGTGTGAATCTGTATTTTTAGTGTCTTTAATTTTAGTAAATCTCTCCTCTTTAGAATTTCGAATTGTCTAAAAAAAATTTTTTAACAGAATTTTCGCTTTTTAAAGATTAAAAGTACGCGAAGTTTATGTTAAATTTTCAAATAAACTTTAATTACTCCTAAAAACTATTCTTTTTTATTTTCAAATTTGAAATAATTTACGAAAAACAAATATAATTAAAGAAATTTCATCATGTAGTAAGCATTAATATTTTTTAAATATTATTATTCATTTATTAGTTACAAAAATATCAAAGGATTTTAAAAAAATATATTAAATAAACTAATTACTTTATTGGTTTAGAAATGTTTAAAAGTTTTTTGATGATTTATTCTACAAATACTCTGGAAAAAAAACAACTCTGTAATAGGAAACTGCACTATTAAAAACGTCTTTCAATGTTAAATCCTTAGGGATTCTGCCATTAACTTACCTTTCTTCAACAAAAAGTCAACAGTAAGAAACTATTAAAGCTTATAGAATCTAGAAGAAACTAATTCTTTTGGGATTTAATAACATTAAAAATCATATTTTCCTCGTTCGAAAATTGATTACATAAGTGCTACGTTAATGAATATCGAGTATTACATTCATCAAATTGATGCAATCCGTTATCGTCACACTAAAGGATAGTTGCTAAGTAACAGCATCTCTACTGCTTCTAATAATTGTTTAGTCTGCCATTTCAAAAAAATAAAAAATAAATAAAAAAATTACACTTCCGAATAAAGATGCTGAACTACACACTAATGCTTTTCTTCATATTTTTATTACTCTAAGTCCCATTTTATTTTCGAGTTTTTAGAAATTATAAAATAAATTATTCTAAACAATTTCTCTCTAAAAATACGCGTAAATATCCATAAATACCTATAAATTTTGATATTGATCCACGCTTAAAAGCACAAAAATTTGAATCGAGAAATTCGTGGTTATTTAAATGTGTGGCACATCAAAGAAATCGAAATACTTTTGGAATTTTCTAAAGTTTTTTTTTTGAAATTATACATAGATTTAGATGTGGCAAGTTGATTAAAACATAATTTAATCAAAAAACAACTCATGATATTGTTGGGGGTTCTTTAAATGTACAGATGCCACACGAAAACGGGTGTATACAAATGGATACAGATACGCTTATTTTTGAAATTTTTAAGAAATTATGAGCAGATTTAAATGTTGGAATTAAGTTTTAAACAATTTACGAGTCACCAAAAAACACTTACGATGTTATTGAGATGTTTTAAATGTATGAATGCCACACGAAAACGGGCTTAGACGAGCAGCCGCAGATGCGCTTTTTTGGGAGTTTAAATAGAAAAAACTGTCCACAAATTAAGTTTTTACACGAATTACAAATGATATTTCCAAGGTTGCAAGGTATCGATTGCTGTTATTGCGCAAGTACTGTAGTGAACCTTCTCTATAAAACGTGGTTATTCATCAGAGAAAGGCGCAGCAGAAACTGGTACTTTGCTCTTCGATACAGATCATCATAAAGATTTTCCAAAAACAGGTGGGATGTAGATCTATAAATTATTCCTTTTCTTAAATTCCATACTTCTACTCACCTTTAATCTTTTATTATGATCAGGTAGATAAGTAGATTGCCTACTTTTCTTGTATATTTAATAGAATCAATCTCATGTAGACCTATTGACATTCTTACAATGTTTCTTCTCTTCTCTAATTCGATAGATGTGGCCGCAATTTTTGAGGGAAAAAAACAAAAAAAGGAGTTAAAGTTTATCTAAAAAGACCAACGTATCTTTGATCTAATCTAAAAAAAGCCGGCGGATCAAAGAACAAAAACAACAACCTGTAAATTTACTAAATATCGATTACGTGATACCCACGTAAACTAAATGAATTTTTTATTGTTAAAACTATAATTTTTTAGATAATTTTTTAAAAGTAGCATCTAAAATTCTCTAATTTATGTAGGATATTTGAATAATTCGCTTACAACTTTGCTGTTGGTGTCTTGAAAATCGTATCGTGTTGCTCCGGAATAACTCGATTATTTTTATGAATTGTTAAACAAATGTAATTAAATTCAAAAACAAAGGTTTGCATTAATAATCTGATTAGTTTCAACTAAGTATTAACTTATACAAACCAGAAGATAATTAAGAATTAAGATTCAGAACGTAGCGAGCTCACTTAAAAGATGTTAAACTTGTTGTTCCTCTTCGTTTACAAATAATTAAATTACAGATTTATGGCATGATCTTAAGCAGAAACAGGCACTTTTTTAATGGATATTTTAAGGTGTATTTGAAAAGGTAAAGATCGTTTACGTGACAATCCCCTATCGACAAAGTTCGATGACGTCAAACTGTCCGAATGTTTACTAGGAGACTAATTTTTAAAAATATATAGAAAAATAATTTAATGACATATTCTCTTTCTTTACATTTACTTCACTTTAATATAGAATAAACTGTAGATAATTAATGATTTAAGTTGACAGTTTAGTCGATTTTCTTAGAGAAATTGAATTAAACAATCGTATATCGGTTCCACCCCCGATATGTTATTGTTTTATGTATTGCTTGCCGGAATTGCTCCCAATTAATTCAAAAATAGACTTACCATATGTTAAGTAAGATAACTGCAGAATGAAGAAGAAATGGTAGTGACTATGGAAAGATTATTCATCTGGTTAACATCTGATAGAATAATCTATCAATACTACATTATACGTCACGTATACTAAGAAAAGACTTTATTAGCAACGATACCGAAGTAATCAAAACAGACTTTTAGTTTTTAAAATAAATCTAGACATTTTTTTTCATATATTTTTATTAAAAAATGTGTAAAAATCAACCTAAAATCGGCACATTTCTCCTTTTTTAAATTAAGAAAATTAAATTTATAAAAATTGATTTATATACTAGAGGATAAAGACATAAATTCTCTTGATTACACCTCATCTTGATATTTATATATATATTCAATTTTGGAGGATTAAATTTATAACTTACACCCTTCAATTAGAATGGAAACAAAAGTATATACAGAATGAGAAGGATTCAGTTTATATTTAAATTCTTGTAGTCCACCGAGGAAAGTCGAGAAGTGATAACAGCTGTTCCATCTTCTAAGAAACTATTGTTCAAGCTTAAAAGTTGTGTCGAATGAAAATTGAATGGAGTGAAAGCGTTCTCTTGTGCTCAGGTGCCGCATCTCCTCACAAGAATAGTAATAGTCTGGGATTGGTATTAAACTTTCCTAACTCCCCTCACTGCTTTCTTGGAAAGAAATTGAAAACAATGTTCAGAAAACAGTAAAATTTTCACTTCTATCACTCGAATATTCACCAGAACACCGGGGAATAAACGATATTTTTCCCGTCTGAACTATAAAAATATTATTTTAGAATGTATAAAATATGTTACAAAATATTATAATATTCTAAAGTAAACTTACTCATTAATTATAATTTAATGTGTTTATAGTGTCTAACGGCATTCTTCTAATTAAATGTTTAAAGTCGGTGACAATTTCTCCAACTTTCTGCTTCAGATAATCATCGGAATTAAGAGAAATGAATGCATTGACTTAGTTTGCAAGTTTTAAAGTCTAATCGATGTTTAACCAATCGTGTCTGAAGTATTATTAACTATATTATTGAGAAAGATATTCACTCGTGCGTTTTCTTTCGTTCCACCTTCATTAAAGAGTTATCTTTCTTCGACTTAACAATATATATTCCCCCTTGAGTCGAAAAATATAAATGTTGACCTTAATGAACGTAATTTTAAAGAATGTAGACTTAACAAAAATAGTTTTAAAAGACATCGGCTTAATGAAAATTGTACAGTAAACATAGACTTAAAGGATATAGAATTAGTAAATTGGTTAAAACTGGTCTAAATCCTTTAAAATTAGAAATTTTATAGGGTTTATCCAATAGGTATACTAGGTACGCGCCTAGGGCCTGGTCGTCTCGAGGGGCTTTAAAAATTATTTAGTAAAAAGATAATATTCCTCTAAAAATTTAATGAACTTAAACATTCATAAAATTAATAAACATAAATATACACTTAAAGAATATAGTGGTATAAAGCTAGTGAACTTAATTTTATTGAATATAGGCAACAGATTTAGCTTGTTGTGGCCCTAAGCTATGACATACAAAAGGCCCTTTTTCTCTGAACCAAATAATAATGGACAATATGAATAAACTGAGAATAGAACGAGGACCCTGGTAACGCGAGTCCTTGAGCTATATCTTACTTAGGTTATACGTAAAACCGGCTACGAGTTTGGCTTAATGAGTATAGTTTTGAAGGGCATAGATACAGCAAACATAGCTTTAAATGATGTAAATTAAGCAGTTTGGATTTAATGTATGTAGTGTTAAAAGCATAGATGTAAAGAACATAGTTGTAAAGAGCGTAGCGGCATATAGTAAACATAGTATTAATGATATCGACTTAACGAATATTTCAGTACAACAGAATTAAATTTATATTCCTTGTATCTATGTTTACATTCTTCCATAGAACCTAAATTATTCTATTTTATATTCATATAAAACTCAATTTAAAAGGGCATTTATACAATTTAAAAAACTCTCGTAGCCTTCGGTTATTACCTCTTTTCGTAATAAAACTGAATAAAATTTCCATATCTAAAATATTAATGATGTTTGCGGGTGATGCATGTGTGTGAGTGTATCTCTCTTTTTTTATTTTGTACAAACATAAACTCCCACGTGATACACCTACACGTAAAATTCTTTAATTATTAAAAAGGTTTGTAGTATAAATCACACCTACCTGAAAATAGTTCGTTAATTTACAATTATATTTTATTATAGCGTGATTGGAAATAACGTTACCATTAATGGAAATCGATATTAATTTTTTTTGGAAAGTATCTAAATTAATTTTTGAGTTTTTAGAAATGGAATGTAATTGTAGAGTCTGTTCACGTGCATATTTTTCTAGATGATGAGGAACAATTTCCGGAAAGTAAATACTTATCACGTGCTTTATTATCTAAATAAATAGAATCTAAAAAATTCATTTATGACAGAAAAATTGTTTAATTTCCCTTTCGAAATATTGTTAATTCGACGGTACGGCGTTTTATTAATTAAAAATCCATCCCAAAAAGTCCACAAGTTAAACAATTTTTTCTATTTTTTTGGTGTTTTTTAGAATTTAGAAAATCAAACTTCAAATTTAAATATAAAAAAGAAATAAAATTAAAATTTAGTAAATTTTTCTGGAATTAAATTTCTGTTAATGAAAATTGAAAATTTTGATTGTAAAAAACACAATTGCTTTCAAAAATGGTAAATTTAAAGGCACAATTCTTTATAAAATATCGATCCGCGGATGATTGCCGAGAAGCATTTGGAAGATTGATCTTGATTGATGAAGTGTGCTTTTTTGGATAAAACATCAAAAAACCTCACGCCATTTTATAGAAAAATCAGATTTAACAGCATTCTTTTAAAAGTATTTTCCTAGAAATTCCAACATTTTCAGACACTAATAAAGACAAATGACGAATTTAAGATATTCTTCTATCATCGTCCATCCCCTTACTTTCCTCTGTAATTAAAAGAGATTTATTCTTCGAAAACAAGATTCTCTTCTACTAAATTAACTAATCAGAAAATATTTCTCGACAGAAAACATGAACTTGACTTTGTTAATGTTGGTCTTCTGCCTGTTGATTTGTTCGTCTTTAAGCACTCCATATTATGGATCTGGTAAGTTTAAAATTCTATTAACTTATTTAATCTCTGTTAAGAAATTGCCAGATTAACAGAGAGGTGAATAAGAAGTTTCAATTATAAAGTAGAAGAGTTACTCTTTCTAATTGAAAATTAATTTTCTCTTTCGTATTTCAAATTACAGATAACTCTCTAGACGACTACAACGATGGACTGACTCGATACTTACTCTACACTAGAAAGTAAGTTTTTAAATTATCAAGTAAATACATTTTCAGTTAAGAATTTAACCCAGATTTCCAACCGGTAGTTCCCGATCTACTGGGAATCGCGACCTACTGGTTGCGAAGTGTTGTTATACGGCATATAAATTGTTTAATAAATAGATATAGTTGAATTTCTCAACAGGTAGTTCGCGATCGTTGGGGAGATAATTTAAAGGTTGGGAAGTTGTATTGTATAGAAAGCATTCCTTTATATAGTCGATTTTTAATAATGGAGATTCTGGTTGTAAATATAGCCAGATTCTTCTATTATTAAAAAATACCTGTCTACTTGTTGAAGATGTAGATAAATTTTCATTCGCATAGTTTACTGTTTCGATCGACACGACGTAAACCAATTTAAACATAGTTTTCTAAAGTTTCCTCCAGCCGTAAACAGGAGACTTTCCAATAAAATGACAAGAAAACGTCAACTGGAGAAATGCATCACTCCTATTCACTACCAATCCAATTTATTTATATAACGAAAAGAAGCAACCCAAATAAACAATAATTAACGTTTTATTATTAAATGAATAAAAGATTTATAAAAAAATAAAAATAAAAAGACCTTTGTACGAGTGTTATATTTATTTTTCTATAGGAGAAGTTGCATCAGACGCGGTGGTTTCTGCGACAATAGGCCAAATGATTGTTGTTTCAACTCTTCATGTCGCTGCAACCTCTGGGGAACCAACTGTCGATGTCAGAGACCGGGACTCTTTCAGAAATGGGGAAAGTAAAATGCCGTTTGCAGGTTGTTTTTGAAGAAGAGGAAGAAGAAAAGCCGAACTTGGTGTAGACGGAGCCCTGTTGTTTTGGGCATCGACACTACATTGTGGACATTATAGATAATATATGTTTGATAAATATATATTTCCAACTCCACAATGTAACCTTCCAAAGGCGGAATTCTTTTGGAAACACGTGGTGTTAATCCATTCATTTTAACCCGTTGTGCTATGTAATTTGTTGTGTTATATTCCCTTTAAAGTATATAAAGGCCGTAAGCAGAATAAAAAAGTAACTTTGTGCACTTTTGTTTCTTTACAAGAAAAAAAAAATTTATTTTATTTTTCGTTTTGTTCTGTTAATTTAAAACGTATTATACTGGAGGATAAAGACATAAATTCTCTTGATTACACCTCATCTTGATATTTATATATATATTCAATTTTGGAGGATTAAATTTATAACTTACACCCTTCNTTCCAGAGCTCGTATCAATAATAATCAATAAATATGTATAAAAACTAATAAAATATTATTTTAGCTATTCTAAAAATAAACTACGATAATAGAATGTTTATATATTATGATGATGAGTATTTACTATAAGATATTCCCGTATTGAGTTAATATTATTGCTAGAATATTCGAGTGTGTTGTCGAGATAACAACATTGCTCTTGGCTAATATGTCATTTCGAGTGTTGTAAACACCTTTCAAGTGGTAAAATATTTACAAAATTCAAGGATGTGAATTATAAAATTGTAATTTTTGATATATTTAGTCGTTAATCTAACGAAACAAATAATTTTTAAAAAATTATTTTGCGTATGAATAAAAGAGATTCGTAACTATTCACGTTCTAGTAAAGGGCTAAAAATATCCTACAATTTATTAACTTCTTACAATATTAAAATATATTCGGAGAATTTAATGTTCTAAAAACTCATTTTAAAATTATAAAATAAGCTGATGATGATAATATAATTTAAAAATTTTTTAAAAATCATTCAAAAATTCACTCCTCTATTTATTTTGTACAAACATAAACTCCCACGTGATACACCTACACGTAAAATTCTTTAATTATTAAAAAGGTTTGTAGTATAAATCACACCTACCTGAAAATAGTTCGTTAATTTACAATTATATTTTATTATAGCGTGATTGGAAATAACGTTACCATTAATGGAAATCGATATTAATTTTTTTTGGAAAGTATCTAAATTAATTTTTGAGTTTTTAGAAATGGAATGTAATTGTAGAGTCTGTTCACGTGCATATTTTTCTAGATGATGAGGAACAATTTCCGGAAAGTAAATACTTATCACGTGCTTTATTATCTAAATAAATAGAATCTAAAAAATTCATTTATGACAGAAAAATTGTTTAATTTCCCTTTCGAAATATTGTTAATTCGACGGTACGGCGTTTTATTAATTAAAAATCCATCCCAAAAAGTCCACAAGTTAAACAATTTTTTCTATTTTTTTGGTGTTTTTTAGAATTTAGAAAATCAAACTTCAAATTTAAATATAAAAAAGAAATAAAATTAAAATTTAGTAAATTTTTCTGGAATTAAATTTCTGTTAATGAAAATTGAAAATTTTGATTGTAAAAAACACAATTGCTTTCAAAAATGGTAAATTTAAAGGCACAATTCTTTATAAAATATCGATCCGCGGATGATTGCCGAGAAGCATTTGGAAGATTGATCTTGATTGATGAAGTGTGCTTTTTTGGATAAAACATCAAAAAACCTCACGCCATTTTATAGAAAAATCAGATTTAACAGCATTCTTTTAAAAGTATTTTCCTAGAAATTCCAACATTTTCAGACACTAATAAAGACAAATGACGAATTTAAGATATTCTTCTATCATCGTCCATCCCCTTACTTTCCTCTGTAATTAAAAGAGATTTATTCTTCGAAAACAAGATTCTCTTCTACTAAATTAACTAATCAGAAAATATTTCTCGACAGAAAACATGAACTTGACTTTGTTAATGTTGGTCTTCTGCCTGTTGATTTGTTCGTCTTTAAGCACTCCATATTATGGATCTGGTAAGTTTAAAATTCTATTAACTTATTTAATCTCTGTTAAGAAATTGCCAGATTAACAGAGAGGTGAATAAGAAGTTTCAATTATAAAGTAGAAGAGTTACTCTTTCTAATTGAAAATTAATTTTCTCTTTCGTATTTCAAATTACAGATAACTCTCTAGACGACTACAACGATGGACTGACTCGATACTTACTCTACACTAGAAAGTAAGTTTTTAAATTATCAAGTAAATACATTTTCAGTTAAGAATTTAACCCAGATTTCCAACCGGTAGTTCCCGATCTACTGGGAACCGCGACCTACTGGTTGCGAAGTGTTGTTATACGGCATATAAATTGTTTAATAAATAGATATAGTTGAATTTCTCAACAGGTAGTTCGCGATCGTTGGGGAGATAATTTAAAGGTTGGGAAGTTGTATTGTATAGAAAGCATTCCTTTATATAGTCGATTTTTAATAATGGAGATTCTGGTTGTAAATATAGCCAGATTTTTCTATTATTAAAAAATACCTGTCTACTTGTTGAAGATGTAGATAAATTTTCATTCGCATAGTTTACTGTTTCGATCGACACGACGTAAACCAATTTAAACATAGTTTTCTAAAGTTTCCTCCAGCCGTAAACAGGAGACTTTCCAATAAAATGACAAGAAAACGTCAACTGGAGAAATGCATCACTCCTATTCACTACCAATCCAATTTATTTATATAACGAAAAGAAGCAACCCAAATAAACAATAATTAACGTTTTATTATTAAATGAATAAAAGATTTATAAAAAAATAAAAATAAAAAGACCTTTGTACGAGTGTTATATTTATTTTTCTATAGGAGAAGTTGCATCAGACGCGGTGGTTTCTGCGACAATAGGCCAAATGATTGTTGTTTCAACTCTTCATGTCGCTGCAACCTCTGGGGAACCAACTGTCGATGTCAGAGACCGGGACTCTTTCAGAAATGGGGAAAGAAAATGCCGTTTGCAGGTTGTTTTTGAAGAAGAGGAAGAAGAAAAGCCGAACTTGGTGTAGACGGAGCCCTGTTGTTTTGGGCATCGACACTACATTGTGGACATTATAGATAATATATGTTTGATAAATATATATTTCCAACTCCACAATGTAACCTTCCAAAGGCGGAATTCTTTTGGAAACACGTGGTGTTAATCCATTCATTTTAACCCGTTGTGCTATGTAATTTGTTGTGTTATATTCCCTTTAAAGTATATAAAGGCCGTAAGCAGAATAAAAAAGTAACTTTGTGCACTTTTGTTTCTTTACAAGAAAAAAAAAATTTATTTTATTTTTCGTTTTGTTCTGTTAATTTAAAACGTATATATCAATTAAAATTAAAATATTTAATTACAGTTAAAATTTAAAATTTAATTATAATAGAAAAACAAAGAAAAATAATTCAATTCTTTCCAAATTTTTATTTATTTATTTTTGATTGCCAGAAAATTTGTAGATTTACAAAAACAAAAATACATTTAAAATTTTAAAGATTTTCATTAAAATTTAATCACTTTAATAATAGAAATTTAAATATTTTACTAACTTTTTTAGATATAAAAAAACAAATAATAATAAAATTAATTTTTTTCACTTTTCTGAAAAAAAGTATCCATTTTAAATCATAAAAAATTCAAATTGAGATTTAAAACTTCAAAAACCCCCGATTCTTCTAAAAGATTCCTTAATTTGCTCTTAAAACAACGAAATGGATATTCATCTATTTTTCAAAAATTAAAAGAAAAATCGGAAAAAAAATATATCAAATTTCTCAAAGAAAACGTGTATTTTGTGTAGGCATAACGGGGCAGCAACTGCACAAATTGATAATGATGACGTATTGTAAAGGTGGAAGCGATAGAATTCTGGAACAACATAAACAAATATACGGGAAAGAATTCTTTTGATGTAGCTAATTCAAAAAAAAAAAAAAAAAAAAAAAACAGCCCCAAATCGAAGAGAAAATGTGTTAAACGGTATGTAAAACTGCACATAAATTTATTTTTTCATATTCTTATCTTCCAGAAGGGGGAATTATTATATAGATTCAGCTATAAGTCTAAGTGACATCATAAAAATAAATACGAATCAGTTTCCGATGATAAATTCCAAACTGCCTTCTAGAAAAATAAATAATTCTGTAGATAGCAAAGCTTACGTCTTTCAAAGGCAAGAAAAATAACTCGTGATATATCCCTTTTCATCAACTGAAAACAAATTCTTCTCCCCCTCTTTCATCTATAAATAATGTATATATATATTTTTTTAAAAAAAAGAATAATTTTCTATGCCGCCGCCATTTTGAAATTTCATTCAACATGCAATTTCTCAAGATTAATTAATTTAATTTTCCTTAGATACTTGGAACATAATGTACACATGGCTTTTTTGGATAATGTAAAAAAAAAGTCTATATAGATCATTTTGTATTTTAATCCTGATTTTTTTTTCATAATTTAAGTTTTAATGAAGGTTTTTTAATAAAATTAATTTAAAAGATATAAGAATAAAACACTTTTAGATCCTCTTAGTACTAAAAGATTATCTAGAAAATTGTCATATGAAGATGACAAGCAATACTATTCCAAAAAATAATTAAGTAAATTGCTAAGATGTTTTTTTTTTTAAACTACTTAATTTTAAAAAGTGGGATTAGAATCACGTATTTATAATATATGTAATTATCTCGGTTACTAGAAAAAAAATAAAATGTAAACTTTGCTTGTTGCTGCACGATATCAACAGGATTTTGACTAGATTTATCAATACGTTCAAAAAAAAATAAAGAAAACGTGTTTTTTTCTGTAGTTTTATATTGTATAAAAAGTGAGGAAAATTGAATTGACTCTTACATCTAAAAATATTTTATCGCTAGTTTCAATGTGCAAATTTTGTTTTCAATTTCAATATTTGCTACCAGATCCATGAAGTATCATCAAACTTCAATTTCTTCAAAAAATACACACGTTTAATGTATATGTCATGAAAAAAAATCATCAAAATTTCCTAAAAGGTCTAAACTGACTACATGCAGTTATTCTAAAAAAAAAAAAATCTATCTTTGTAATTAAGGCCGTTCTGCGCATCCATCGCCATCTAGCGATAAAATAAGACACATTTTTTAAAAATCATTCAAAAATTCACTCCTCTACTACTTATTTTTGAGTTTATTTTATCAAAATTAGCATCTATCAATTTTTTAAAATTTAGTTTTAAAAATCTAAACATTAAATATTCTTTTTCTACATTATTTAAAATTTTCATTATAGGATGGATACTTTGAGATTTTTTAAACTAAGGGATGATGATTTCCTTACGTAGCAGTAATTAAATGTTTAAATTTGCCAAACGAGAATAGGTGTTTCAATATAGGTTAACTGGACTAGGAAATTAATTTTGTGGAGATAATAAGCCGCAATGAGGATGTGTATTGTTGCATAAGTGCAACTGTAGCCACAATCTTTCTCTCTACTAATTAACAGCATCACATTTTCTAATCAAACTGCAGAATGGACTTGAAGATGAGGAGGAGTTGATTTTGCATCATTGAAAAGGTAGTGGATGATTGCAAACAAACGAAATAAAATGACTTAAGGCAGAAAGAATTCATTTAAATATTTCAATTCCTTTTTATTATTTCTTTTCTGACAGAAGACTTGTCCTAAATTATTTCTTTTAATAATTGAAGGAATAAGTTTAAAGTTGAAAGTGTTCTTTTCAAAAAATAATCTTTAAAACTTACATAAAATCTTCTTAATTTCATCTTTTTAATCTTTAAAATTAATTAAACTTCATTTCCTTAAAAATAATTTAGATTAGTTCTTAAAATGTTAAGAAATTTGAAATATTTAAGGGTGTTCAACAATAAAATAATTCAGTTTTAAATAACTTAAGCCTTTCATGATTTTATTCTTAATGATAAGAATATCAGCAATAATAATCACTCTTCCTTAATCAACTAGTTAGTTAATTCTCTATTTCATGAATAAAGACATTTGATTTATATTTTCTCTCTATTATTTTTATTATTATTGTTGTTATTCAATTTGAGAATCTCTTACTCTTAATAAACTACACTTCAACATAAATAATCTTTTAAACTTTTATCAAACTTCATTCAACTAAAAATACTTTACAAATTTACAATTTTCAAGGATTTATTATGCAATTCCTTTTTTAAAAAAATTAAATATAAATAAAATATTTATATTTTATTTTGTATATAATTTATTTCAATTGTAAGTTGTTATTGGATGAAGATGAATATTTACAAAATTATTAACAGCATATTAATAATGAGCAATGAAATTTTATGATTTATACAATTTCTATAAAGATGTGATTTTCTGTTTAGGATGGATAAATAATTCGACCAGAGCAAAGTGTGTTAAATATGGAATCTGTCCTAAATGAAAATACATTTCTTAATTATAAATTGTTCTGTTGGATTTGATCCATTGAAATACAAAAGTTGATTTTAAACCATAAACAATGTAAACTGTTTCAGGAAGGTTCTTCAATCTGAAATTGGGCTATCTTGTGTTTAGTGATGCCGTGAAGAGAAAGTGTGTCTCCTTCTAGCATTATCTGAGAACTTTCAAACTGGATGTCCCCGTTCTGGGTCGGTAATATGTTAATGGAGTTGTTGCTCAGGTCTATACCGTCTATGCTCATTTTCTGAGTCGAGGAATCTCCAACACTTGAATCAGTAGTAACAAATGTTATCTGTAGAATAAAGATGTATATTAGTAATACATTTACATAAAAACAAGAACAATTAATTGTAAAAACTCAATTTCAGATACATTATATTCAATATTTAAATGATCTGGAATTTTGATTTTCTCTATACTTTCAATCTTCATGATTGTTAAAAAACTAACAAATACCAATCCTTATTAAAAAAGATTAGTTAAATAATAAACTTATTGTATGTAATAAGATGGTGATGATAAATAAATTGGGTTTCATGAAATATTCTTAACATACAAATCTCATTTATAATCATATCTGACATTACCCAACAATTTGCAGCTATTAATTAAAAAGATTTTTATAAAATGAAATTATTATTATTACAATATAATCAAAAATAAAGTAAGTAAAATATTTAATATTATTCTACTTTAAGCTGTTAATAATTGATTATTTAATTTATAATAAAAAATTTGATTATATTAATGTATTCCAATCATTGGATAACAAATCATAAGTAGAACATATGATTTACAAAAATTTAGAATAATTATTTCTCTAAACTGATATTGTAAATATCTATTACAATCTTTATAAATGTAAAAGATATAAATTTATAAATAGATTTAAAAATATAAACGATAATAAATTTGTAAATAAAAGAGTTGTATGCAATAAACAATTATTAATATAAAAATGTTAAAAATATATCATTATTTATTTTAACAAGTTTCTGTATTGTTTAAAACTATTAAGAAATATTACAGCATTATTATTTTAAATACATGAGGGGTGGTTTTTTTGTAAATAGTTAAGTCACTGAATTAATGCAGTTGTGATGACAAACAATATAAAAGTTCTCATTTATATATGTCTCAGTGGTCAGTAACAAAAAAGAAATACAGTATATGTTTGTCATCTCAACTGCATTAATTCAGTAACTTGACTATTCAGTATCATCTATTTAGTTTTCAGGTTTTAGGTCTTTTTGTAATATTATAAGCAAAGAATTTCTGAATAACCTTGTTTTTATGCTAATGTTTTAATTCAAGCATGAAAACAGATAAAATTTAATTGAAGATAAAATACACTGTTGAAACATATGATTCAATCTTACAATTAATAAGACATCACATGCTTCAACGATGTGTTTTATCACAACACCGTGTCATTAAGTTTAATAAACTTAATGACATAGTGTAATAGTAATAGTAACTGTAATATTGTCAAAATGTGATTTCTACCTAGTGTGAAAAATCAATTATCTTCTAATAAGAAAAGTATAAAATTTGTGAAGGTATAAATCTATGGGATCACCATATCTCTCTTTGGATCTGAGTTATAATTGTAAAGAATGTTCAATATAGAATTTTCATTTTAAAATTTAAATAAACAACAATTTTAATATTTTCAAATATAATTTCATATTTATTTAACATGTAAATTCACTTAAATATTAATTTATTAAGTAATATAAAGATTATAAAAAAATCTTACCCCCGAGTCAATGCCATCTGGTCTAGAAACAATTGTTAACTGCCCATTCTGGTCAAAAAATCCAGAGGGATTTACACCACTGATGACTATTTGACCATCCTCATTAGTAAGAGTATTGATGGTGGCTATCGTTCCATCGGAAAGTCGAATGGTTGCTATCTCTCCCTGTCCTACTTTAAAGAAAGATTATTTATGTTACATATTAAAAAATGTAAATTTATTCAAAATAAAAAGTCTTTAACACTGTTTCATTTATATTTATTTATAAAACTAAACATCTGCTAAAAATTAAGTGTGCAGATATGAAAAAATTTATTATATATATAATACACACACACACAATATAGCAAATTTATTTTTTCTATTACATATATTATCCTCTTTACCTTCTGAGACAATATCATTTTGAGTAACATCAAAGTTGTGTTGATCCGGCGGATTTATATCCGGTAATGATATATTATTATTAGCTTCAGGAACTTCTATCAAAGTTGCTTCCGTCTCATTACTATTATTATTTTGTTCTATTACATAAGCTTCACACTGTTTGCTTTTCTGATGATCCTAAATACAAAGAAAATTTTTCTTTTAAAACTTTATTAACTGACAACGTTAGAAGTAAAATTAAAAAATATATTAAATTACAGTTTATATTTTAATTAAATGTCGGATATTATTATAATTTTTTCTTGTCAAAATGTCTGAATTTTTATTTTTTCATTTTCAGGCTGAAAATTTATAAACAACTAATTTTCAACCTAGATGATGATAAAAATTGGTATTCATTTAATTATTTAATACATCTAGAATTCTTCAGAAAATAGAAATGAATAATCATAATTTTCATGAATTTAATCAAATAGTGAGTTTTATGTATGCTGTTCAGTTGTGGCTATTTCTGATTATTACAGAAATTTATTTCTGTTTGATATATCTTTTAATTATTCATAAGAATGAAAATTCTTACTCTTATAATATATAATAATAAAAGTCCAATAATTTTGCATCAGATAATTTAGCATCATGCTCAAGACTCATCCACACTAAACAGAAATTGGCATTGTTCAATTTATATGAGATCACCTTCACATGATGACCACAGACATGAATTTTAAAACACAATTCCAATTTGCATGTCCAAAATATATCCACACTAGAAATAAACTTTTGACATACACAGATTTTTTGGTAACATTTCAACATACTGAGAGCTTTATAACTATTGTTCATATCAAACTTAAAACAGTAAATAACTATCAATTTTCCAATAGTAAATATTTTTCCACAAAGCAATGGTTTCAAATTTACCAACGTAATTGACTAGCCAACTTATACTCTGTAGGACTGACAATAACAATCTCTGCCCAATTTCCTTCCCACTTAACAATAAACAAAAATACAAAATACATCTGAGTTCATATTTTCTATTTAATTACATTTATTGAATAAATAACTCAGAAACTATTTATTTTAATGGTACAATATTATTACTTTTTGCAATTTTCTCTATATAGTCAGACTTAGATAATTCATCATAATGTTGACCAGTTTGATCTCAAAGGCATAACTGTTCCATTTGGAGTATTGTTTAATCCAAAACATGCAAGTTTCATTGATTTATTAGTTATTTAGAAAGATCACAAACACATTTTGTATAATAATACCTTGACTAAAAGTTCATAACATTGAATCAAAAGTGTGTTAAGATTGACTGAAAGTCTTGCTTATAGCATTTTTAGGGTTTTGGGTGTTACAACTGCATTGACATTTGTCCTACTAGATAGATTTTGAAAGACAGAACTCCTCTATATTTGGGCAACCAGAAAAAATTTAATGTCATATACTTTAAATGTAGCACAGTTTTCTTTTGTATATCTCAAAACACAGGTCCATGAACTTAACTTACTGTATATACTTCTTAAACTAACTTCTTCAATTGAACATTCTTTGGATTTTAATACACATATTTTTAAATGAATTGTGGCATATATTCTTAGAATCCTATGGAGTCATTTTTATCAATTTTTGTGTATTGTAAAAGTGATTGCCATAATGGAGACCAGTCCAATCTTCTATAAAACAGATTCTGTTTTAAATTTCTAAACAAGTTTATTTTGAATCTCCTAATCTCATCTTTTTAAGCTTCACAGCATAACTATAGCTATAAAACAACTAGAGCATAGTTATAAAACTTATGTATGTTGAACAGTCTATGTTTTATGGCTGTAAGTTATCATTTAATTATGTTTGATATTGTAAATTAATTTTAATTTATTCATTTTTCTATTGACCAGTATATTTAGTATATCAGTACAGTTATATATATATATATATATTTACAGTCTGTATGTACACAGGAAATCCTTGTTGGTTTGAAATTCAAGGGATGAAATAATTGCATCTTCAAATTATAATGCTTTTTGAATTATCTTTGTATAACTATTACTTCATAAAACATCAACATTTTTTTTTACCCCAGTCACCAATGTTTAGTTTTGTATTTTCTCATCTTGTGCTTTCTGCTCTCGCTAGGGATTGTATACCGGTTAACCGATAAATTGATAAAAAAACATTCGGTAAACTTACCGGTAAATTTCAAAAATTTACCGGTAATTCGGTAAACAAAAATCCATACTAGAAATTTTTATGTAGAAAATATTGTATTTATAGATATTTAAAAGGTCTAAAGGAACATTGAAAATAAAAAAAAAACAGGTAAGTGTAAGCAACAATATACCTAATCATTAATTTTATGTGAAATATTTTTTGTTTAATTTTAATTTAAACTTTCTTGTGTTTGAGAGGCGCTGTAAATTGTACAGAAAGCTCTAGTTAGCTTATGTGATTTGTGCTTTGCAGTTTTTTGAGATTTTTAAAGGTTTAAAATCTTTACAATCAACGTTTTTTTAAAAGTGTAAGTAATAAATGTCTCCTTTTTTAATATTTAAAAATAATAATACGTAAATATTTCACACGTATTTTTTAAATTAATAGCAATTTTGAATACACCACATTATGACAGGACATTAATGCAATATTATTGTAAAATAACATTAAAATTTGAACCTTAAATAAATTTTTTACTTCTAACAACTGTTTAAAATAATTAAATACAAATATTTACTACAAGATTCTAATACTATGCCTTAAGATTGCGCAAAATATGTATTATTATAACCATATTTTTTGGGGGGAATCCTCATTACTCTCACGAAAAGAACTTTCTTTAATTTTAGATTGTAAAACCAGGTGGAATAGCTTACCAAACATGCTGGAAAGATTTTTATTACTTAAAGATGCTGTCCGAAAAAGTCTATAAACCTAACCTAACCTGGATTATTTTGTACAAAAATTAGATCAAAATTAGGAGATAACACTTTAAATAATTTAAGTTTCTTGAGAAGTTATTTTTTAAAAAATGGTATTATGTACTATATACTGTATTATTTCTGCTGTATTTTTATTTTTCTCTATTATTTCATTTCTATTTCTGAGTTATTATTATATTCTGCTCAGAATAACACTATAATTTTTATATTTTTTAAATTCTATATCTTTGAAATGAAAAATGTGAAATGGAAATCAAAATGACTTATATTTTTTATCACCTTAATTTTATTTTTCAAGAAAAAATTTACTGGTAATTTACCGGTAAACCGGTATTTTAATTTTTATTTACCGAATTACCGGTAAATGAAAAAGTCGGTAAATTTACAATCCCTAGCTCTTGCATTCTGTGGCAGCCGTATTTGATTTGTCATTGTAATGGACTTTCAGTTGTTTTGTTTTGTTATTATTAATATTCTTACTAAAAAAATGTATTTATTACTATTTAACAAGATAAAATACATCCAAAGTACAAAAGAGTTATGAAAAAACAAGAAAATTAATGAGGTTGCTCATTGGACAACTTCAAAAGTACATACATCAGTCCAAATAAAGTGTTGAATACTCGAACAACAAGAAATTTTAAATCCTGTAAAGTCTATTAAAACCATGCAAAAATCATAGTTAAAATAACTATGACTTTTGCACGGTTTTAATAAAATTATGTTCATTTGAATGTAGAAATGTAATTTCATAGTTGTAAATTTAATAATAATACTCTTAGAGAGTTCATTTTAGATCAATCTGAAGCAATATATTTTAATTCTTTAATTACTAAGTTAAAATTACCTTCATTAAAGCTTCAGTTTTAAAAGCTTGACCACATTTTGTACAAATTAATGTCTTTGAATCAGAATGTCTCCTTTCGATATGTTTCCGAATATCAGTAAATGTATAGCCATAAAAGTCACAAACTCCACATTTATAATCTCTTTGGCCTTTATGCCTGAAAAATCAATAACAAAATTAAAATATAATACAATATACCAAAATTTAGCAATGTCTAATCAATATATCTAAATAAATAAATAAAAATTGTAAGAGATTATCTGAATCAAAAATTCAGGTCAAAAAAATTTTTCTTTTAAATATTTCAAATCAAATTACTTTTCTCGGCAAAGGCAAAAACTATTGTGTTGTTTATAAAAAAAAGTATAGTAAACTTGGATATCTGAATGACAATATTTCCAATTTTATACAAAAATTGTGGATACAAATCCAACTCTAAATACAGATATTTTTCATATATGTGAAAATTGCTTCAAATTTACAAATCATTAAAAATTTAAACAGATGTTTATCTGTTATTCATATTCTATAATCATGAAATTAATTAATTAGTCCAACAATTATGGAATGTTTTGATAATCAGTTCAAAAATATAAAAATACTTTGGAATAATATATTGCTTTTAGCCCTTAATACTATTTAACAATTAGTCTAAATCAACAAGACATATATGTATATGTACGGGTTTATCACACCAGTGAATAAGATTAATTAATGAATTCACTGGTGTGATAGGTCCATATGTATACATATATGTGTCTTGTTGATTTAGACTAATTGTTAAATGAAAATACTTCTTCATATGCATACTTAATGATTATTCAATCATCTTTTGTAATAAAGATATCATATAATTATAATTTTATAAATTTATTCTAGAGTTACTTTTTACCCAATTTCAAAAAAAAATAAAATATAAATTCATCAGAAAAACTATTTTTTTTTTAAATTTTATTTTATGTTTCAATAAAACTTATTTTACAAAAATCATTATAACAACTAAGCTAATAGTTATACAACCATGGGACAGAAGTCCTGCAACAAGTGATTTTTTTTTTTTGTTTTAACTTCAGTAAAAGTTACTGAAGTTGCCACATAAAAAAAACATCTAATCAAATTTATATTTCAATTATTAATGAAATATGAAGAGACATTCTTTTTCTTTTAAAAGACTACAAATTTTATTATGAAATAATTATTTTCACAGTGCAATACAAAAAAAGTAAAGAACATATGGACAAAAATCCAGCAACACAGGAAAACTGAGACAAAAGTCTTGTAACTTTGATGGAATTACAAAGATGTTTTGAAAAAAAAAGACAAGAAATATCATAATTGCATTTCAAAGACACTAAAATTTGCACCAGGGATTATGGTGTATGGAACTTTAACAACTTATTGACTTGAGAGTTTACAAATTGTGAAGGTAAAGCATTAATTCATCACTTTACATTAAAATAATGGATGAAAATCTTACACTAACAGCTAAATATTACTTTACTGACAGTGAGTACATTTATCAACATGATGGCATCCCTGACCAAACAGCCAAGAAAACAAATCATATATTGAAATAGAGATAATAGATTGGCCTGGCAATTCACTATACTTCAATCATGTAGAAAAAATATGGGATAAAGTGAAGATATAAATGAAACAAAAATATATTAACTTTGTAAGATTTATACAGAAACATATATTTAGTATGAAAAGAAATTACTGACCAAGAATATGAGAAGTTAATTTATTCCATGTCACAAAGAAATTTTAAAGATTAAAGGTGAAGTTGCACAATACTAAAATCAAAATTACAGGACTTTTGTCTGTTTTCTTGTCCATGATATGTTTTTTGTACTGCACTGTAAAAATAAATTTCATAATGAAATCTATGTATTTAAAAAAAAAAATGTTCTTTTTATTTTATTAATAATTTTAAAATAAATTTGATTAGATTTTTTATGGCAACAAAATTACTGAGGTTCAAAAAAATTGCTTCTTGTAGGACTTTTGTTCTTGGTTGTAAATCAATTTTATTATAATATAAATTTCACAAATAACATACATAAAGTTGTTCGGAAACAAATTTTCCCATAAGAAACTATGTAAAAATGGATTAATCTGTTTCCATTTTTAGCTGTATTTCATCTATAAAAATGCCTACAAATGCAATATAATATTATATTATAACATACCAACTGAATAACAAATAAAATTTATAAATAAGAGAGACAATTTATAACTTTATAACTTTTATAAATACAAAAGTCAATTTTATTCATCTATATTATGCTGAGAAATCTTGATGGTGCAAGTAGAGAATGGAGAGGAGGTGGAAGGGAACGGATGTTATTTCTTGGAATGGGCGTTCATCTCCATAATAACATCAGGTAACTGCATTTCAGGAGTTTTTTCTCTTATCTTTTAGATTTTCTGCTTCTCACTGGCAGATTCTGTTTGGGACTCATTAGGCTTTTTTTCACTAAAAATTTATCTAACAAAATTTGCTTTTGCCTATATTTCATAATGTTACAGAAGTGAGACATAACATTGTCATTGAAAAGGTTAATAACATGACTTGCTACTGCCTTGTGAAGGTTATATCTTTCAACAAAACCCCATTTTGCATACATGTCATTAATAAGAGCGCTAGGCACATTCTCCCTTTCCTCCTCTTCCTCCAAAGGCATCTCCTTCTGCTGCTCCTGTTGAAAGAGTTTGAGTTTATAGGTAGACAACTTGATAATGTGTTCCTTCACCAGCTCTTCCATGTCAATATTGTCGACTTCCAGGTCCATGCTTTTGCTCAGAGATACGATGTCATTAACAATTATAGTAGGCTGTCTTGAACCCCTCAAAGTCTCTCTCTGCAACACAATCAGACCAGAGGTTCCTCCAGGCAGAGTTAAAGATCCTGAGAGTCACTTGCTGACAGGCTTTGTCAATAAAACCTAAGCAATGGAAGATATTGAAGTGGTTCTTCCAAAAGTCATGGAAAGTTAACTCTGTGTCAGAGGTAACCTCAAAGCACTTTTGAAAAAGTGCTTTGGTGTAATAGTTTTTAAAGTTAGAAATGATGTGGTGATCCATCAGCTGAATCAATGGAATCATATTAGAGGCAGAAACTTCATGGCGATGAATCAAACTCTTCTAATAACTCGGTCTCCATGCCTGGGAGGGTGGGCAGGAGCATTGTCCATCAAAAGCAGGCACAAATTATTTTCATTAACATATTTCTCACACTAGGAGCAAAAACTTCATGGATCCATTCCAGGTTACCAAGACCTTACTGTTAGCCTTCCATATGACGGACAACTTGTTTTTCACAATGTTATTTCTCTTAAACACACAGGGGTTTTCCAAATGATACATGAGCAATGGTTTCAGCTTAAAATTGCCACTAGCATTGCCACAAACCAAAAGAGTTAGCATGTTCTTCATTGGCTTGTGTCCAGGCAAAACCTTTTCCTCCTGGATTAGTTATGTTCTGTTTAATTTTTCAAAACAATCTGTTTTCATCACAATTAAACACTTGTTAGAAGATAAAACCCTCAGCAGTCACATATGCACCAAATTCTTTCACAAACTTTTCTACATCTTTTTTGTTCACACTTGAAGCCTTTCCATGCTGAACCATGCTGTGTATGCCACTTCCTTAAACACATCAGTCTCAGAACTCAAACTGGGGGGTTTCTTGAGCAAATTTTGCACCAAAATTTGCTCAATAAAACCTGTATTTCAGAGACTATCACTCATAACAAAGCAAGGCTTTGTCATGAGTGATAGTCTCCGAAATACTGTCACCAGCCAACTGTTTTTCGTTGATCTAAATCAAAAGCAACTTTTCCACTTCTAAGGTCTGCTTACTTAAGAATCTTTGCTTGTTGATCACAGCCATTCCTTTGGCAACATTAGCATCTTTTATTGCTTCCTTGTTCTTGAGAATGGTACAGATTGATGACTTTCCTAAGATGAATTGCAAAACCAGATCCACGATGCAAACACCATTTTCTTGCTCCCATATCTTTTTCTACACCTATATTGTTATTTTCACTCTTTTTCTTTTCATCTTTATGCTTACACTAGCTTTTTTAGGTCCCATGGTGGCTTATGGAATATATAAAAAAAAACAGAAAAATAATGCATAATGCAAGACAAATCACCAAAGTCAAAGAAGAGTCTGCTGCAAAGTGACACCATGCTGATGGATCTACTGATTAGAAACATATAGATGGACAACTTTAAGAAAATCACATGACTAAAGATATACTTTAAACAAAAAAAATACAGTAATATACACATCTCTATCCACTAACTATAGTACATCTCTTGATAATATTTAAGTTATATCAAATTATCAGTATAAGAATTATAGAAGATTAAAATTACTAATAATAGATATTTTAATATTAATCTATCAATATTTAGACAAGATGTATTGTACAATACCATTAACTTGTCAAATTATGTTTCTCTTTAAAAAAACTGACAATATTGACAGATTTAGATAATCTACAAGATATGAAAACAATACTTATTCTTTGCTTGATTTCAAACTTACAGACTTATGTGAAATGAAATTCTTTCTTAATAGAAAGAATTTATTTCAGACCACCTCACTCTGAATCTCTAAATTTCAAAGATAAATTAATGATTGTTCAATTCAGTTAACACATCATGCATTAGAAGTGTGCTTTTCATAGGATTACAGATTCTTTATATTATAATTTGACTATCAATGAATCTGCCGAGTTCCTTTTTGATGTGTTGCCAATTTTTATAAATAAATACTTACCAAAAAAGGCATTCTTAAGAAATTTGTATCTTGTGAAACAAGCCTCTTGATTAATAAGAAAAAATTGTTTTCTGCAAAATTAAGAAAAACTAACATAAATGATGGAATGCAAAATATTTATTTTTCAGAAATAACAGAGCTTTCTCAACAAGTATGAAAGAACTTGCATAAAGAAAAATATATGTATTATGAAGAACTATTCCTAAGGTTACTGACTGTTGAAAGATAACAGACAAGTTACCTGTAGATATGATAAAGCAATGAAGTGACATTACGATAAATGATATAAGCATTAATGAATTTCCTATAATGGTACCCCTTGTCAAGATGAAATTTTCATTTTATTGAAATATTAAGCTTTTGCA